CCGAGGTAGGTCAGCGCCAGATGTCGCCGTCCTTACGGGGTAAGACCACCGCCTCCTCCCGCGATAAAAACATGGACTACACTTCAGGAACTAGCGCCCGAAATCACTAATCTGTCAATCAATTTAACTCCCATGCAAAATTCGATCAAAAACTAAAAAAACATTACTAAAAAACTAAAACAAAATTACAGACTATTTTCTTAATGCGTTGTTGGAGTTTAGGATCGATGTTCTCTTTTACCACTCCCTTCAATCTCTGGCTACACAGTTCTACTTTTCACTGGAGTACCGGCTCTTCGTAAACATTGTGTATACTATGATGTATATACCAAATTTCTTTCAGACACTCCGAATACACGTCGGCGACGTTCTGTGCTCGGAAAATGGTTATCTAGAGGGTTTTAAACAATACTGCAAATTTTTACTTTACACACACACACACACATATGTGTGTGTGTATCACTTATATATAAATATATGTATGTATAAGTGATTCATGTGAAAAATAAATACTCCATACGAATATATTTTTTTCCTTCTTTTATTACAACAAATTCCGTTTCCTAGTGACGAGGGTCCTTTCGTTCGAAGTTGTGTTCTAATACGAAAATATTTTCAATTGTAATACAATGATTTGCCAAAAAGGGAATATTTGTTAGGGTTCAACTAGAGGAATTACAATATCGTATTACAAACTCTCGTCTGACCCCTTACCTGTAGTAATGGAACCTTATCGGTAAAATGAAGAGGACCCGCAGATATATTTCCTCTAGATCTATGGCAGAGTTCCCGCAACGCAAAATCCAGTATTCTGTTGAAGTCTCCAGATTCCCATGACGGTATATGTGAAAAATTCGGCTGCTTTCCTTCGAAGTTCCCAGATTTCCATGATGTTTCGGATAAACTTAAATACGACGCATTTCTATCCGATGAGCGATGCCGTAGAGACCTCTTCCATTCTGCCTCGAAAGCTAGCCGGCGTTGTCTCATTTTCCACAACTGTTTTGAACAAAGAAAAAACTCTAAAATTGCCCATTCTTTCCTTGACTTTTAAAAATTGATACAAGGTATGATAGAATATTTGCAATTTGTACAACACCCTGAATCAAATTAGAATATGGTAGTCATTCCTAGCCGCGTGGTAACGCCACTGCCGTAACCCAAGCAACAGCAAATCAGAAGCCTCTGCACTTACACAGTTGCTACCTCAATTTATAGAATAAACGAATCACATTGCTCGAATACCGCAATTGATCAGTTACCATCATTATGAGTGTCGAGAGTGAGATTCGTTATAATAAAATGGGTTGCCGAAAGTGTTGCTTGAGCGAGAGCTGTGAGAAACGTGTGATTTTTTAAATTTATTTGTAGAGTGGTAGCCATATCCAGGGGCGAAGGCTTAATTGCGGCCCCGAATTTTTTGTCATTCAAAATAAATACGAAATGTATTTCCTTCTAAATCAAATTAACCGCTATAAGTTATTTCTGTTGCAAAGAGAATTGTGTTGAATGTATTGGCAGAGAGGCGGAACTTTTGCCTGAAATACTTGCCCCCCCCCTCGGAGCTACTGTCACAGGCCTCTTGTTTTCTCTGTGCGTCCCTAGCCATGATGGAAAGATATACCGTTACCCGTACCACGAAGAAAGATACAGGTTAGCCCGGTGCGCCGATTTCTGTTCGTTTTGAGCAGTACCAGTTTGCGGTACGAACCGTGTGATGGTGTATGAGCGTTTCAGAAAAAACTTTCAGAATGTACTTTTGAGCTGATTATCACAGAACTCTGTTAAGTTTTCGCTGAATTTTATATGACATTATTCAAAGCACGCATACTCTTAAAAATTAGAATTTGAACAAACTTCCGCTAATGTTTAATGACGTCAGAGACAAGTCAAAAAATTACTTTTTTGTAATTTTCTAAAACACAAATCAATAGAGCAAAATGGGGCTTATGTCGTCT